TAATTTTTTTTCCTTGTTCTTTTATACTATATATGTTTCAAATTTGATGAAGTCAATATATATGTCAACACTTGATAGTTAATTTACTTTGGCATACAAAATTATCTGTTTTTGTCATGTTTCGGACATTTTTTGTATTTTTGCGATGGAATTCTAAAGCTATTTTCTCACTTTGCTGAACTATATTACAATCAAAAGAATCATCTGTTAAGGTCATTCTACGAATACAAACGTTGCAGTTTGTTGCTTCAAAAGCAACAGTTATTTAGCATAAATGGAAAACTTGAAGTACTCTAATAATTTTAATCAACTAATGTTTCAAATTGTAAATGTTCTTAAAATTCAAGTACAAAATAATGTTACTTTATAAATTTGATACGGACTTATGCCATTAGAAACAACCTAAATTATATTTCAAGTTCAATGAACTTTTGGTCATTTGCGGTACCTTTTTTCCTACATGGTAATATCGCCAATCTTTCTACTTTAATATGATTAAAATAGAATAATTGAATTTCAATCACATTTTATTTTATCAATTAATAACACTTACAGTGAATTCGCGTCTGATTATTTTCCATAACTTGTCTCGAATACACGCGCTGAAAATTGGAAGTCAGGACGTTGATATCTTATTTGATCAATTAAATATCAATGCATAAAAGGTAACACTTTACCCTAATGACTAGGTATTACTCTATCTAGTCTTCACTTCCTTATTTTTTATTGCTAGAAAGAAATGAAATTTATCTATAGAAGTGCAAAATGCTGCAGCATACATGCATAGGTTGTTATATTTCTTTTATTTTAACTATAATAATATCATAAGATACGTTTATATTTGTTTAAAGATTCATATAAACTGTCGCACTTGGTTTTGGTAAAATCTGATATCATTGCATTTCGTTTCAATGAAAAAATTGTTACAATTCGTTTCTATGAGTGCAATAGTTAAATTTCAGCAATCCAATCTCGATATTAGAAAAGACCGCATTTTTTGTTGCGTGAATAAATAAATGGTAACACACTTCTAATTATTTGATGCCATAACTTCTTCTATACCTTTGGTCTCGATAGTGTAAATCTTATATAACAGCATAACCTTGGATACACTTGGCGGTTACACACGCTATTAAAAATTTGGCTACATAATGTCATTTTATGTTACGTAATCGTCATCATTTATAAAAAAAATATCTACCAGTAACATTATTGGAACAATTAAAGTTCGTCTTCTTAGATTTTTATTCAAATATTTATTCCAAACGAACATGAATTATAACGTTAATATATTACCTGTAAGTAACTTTGATTTGATCTCTTATTCCTTGGAATGAAAAGTATATTCTGTGAAGTATGGTGGCTGATTTTGTACACTTGCACGTTGCGTTGACAATAGTGACAACACAACCTATACCGTTCTCGTCATTTCGTCTTGTCGTTAGACAATGAGCCAAACGTCGCGTTGACACCTTGTCGTCATGTCGTCCTGTCGCTAGCGAAGCACGCGAACAGGCGCGTTGTCGTGCGGCGTGTTGTCGCGATGTCGCTTGGATTATATATAAACAAACAGCGAATCCTTCAATTCGAGCCAAGCGACAATGTTACATCGCGACAACACGCCGCACGTCAATGCCTCGTTTGAAGTACATCGTTAGCGACAGGACGACAAGACTATAGTGCGACAACGCGCCGTTTTGACCCTTTGTCGTGCTATCGCACGACGCACAAAACTCCAAATCAGCCACCATAGTGAAGTACGTGTATGCGAAAACAGAATAATTAGCTTATGACTAGGAAACCAATACACTGTATATTTAACTTCTTAATAACCTATTTCCGCATTTTAGTTTTCAAAGATTGTATAATATGTAACTAAACTGACTTCATCTCATAAAGTAGGGAGAAAATATGCGAGTTGATAAGAAATGTAAATATTTTTAAAAAATCGCGAGATTCGATGTTTTACTGTTTGAAGGCTTATGGAAAACAACAAGATAGTTTGTGCTATCAATCAGCGATTGGTTTAGGATGATGTTAATGTTATACAAACTTAGATTGCACTTTAGCTATGGATAAAATGATACTGAAATATGTTTTACAACCTGTATCTAATAAAACATTTGCAATTATGAGCATAATTCCAGATAACTGCAGATTTGGACAATAAACTTCCACCCTTCCTAAATACATTGTATATATGTATAAACAATAAGTAACTGTTGTCATTAAATATGATATTATCAAACTATCAAGTGTTGTGAACTTACAAGTAAGCAAGATTGCATTGATTTGTTGCAAAGTCATCGACTGTAAAATATGCTGTAAAGTAGGTGTTATCCGAGATGATCTAATTTTTGCTATTACATATCGTTTTTTAATCCTTCATGAATTTTCTTTCTTATTGATGTAATTAACAAACGTACGGAAACCTAAAATGGTATCCATTAAGTGCTAACACGAGGTGTAAAACGACTGATTTTTGTTCATTTTATTTAGATGTTTTAACACATTTTAATGCCTTTGTTGTACATGCAATAACGTAGTTTGAGAATAGTTTCATTTTTTTTAATTCATATTTATTTAAGGTAACATTATGCTAATATTTTCATTGTTCACGAGGGATATTGATTAACAGGTGACGTGTTTAATAAAATTGAAAACGAATATGAAAAGAATGGAAACATTACTTTAATATTACCTAAACAGCCACCATTTACTTTTGGATAGACATATTGTCAGTTCAATTAAAATTTTTGGGAATGTAATTTTTTGTTAAAGCTAGAAAAAAATAGCAAATGATACAGCTTTTATATTTGATATGATTGTATACTTTAACACGGGTAGGTAGCTTATATACATTTACGTATATCATCTACGCATTCAGTTATGTATACATTTCTCATTGTGTTTTAACTTTTTGTGCAAATGCAAAATGTAACATGAGTTATGGGTTTTTCCTGACGAACGCACTTTGTGATATAATTAAATGTAATAAAACTGGCAACTTAAACATAGAATGTAAAAGGATAGGGTATTAGATTTTATTATCATATTTATGATTAGAACTTTAACAGACAGATAATTGCTAATCTACAAAAATAAGCTGTTGTTGTACTTTAACTTAATTAAGAACAATAGCGTTTGGTTGTGCATCTGTCAGTGTGCCGTTACGCCAAGACAATCAAGGAAACAGAAATAAACAAACAAAATGATATAAAATCATTATCTTCCTGTTGGTCCAGCTTAAATAAAATGACTGTACCACAATTAAGCAGATAACATTTAAAATCGTGTTTCCTTGAACACTTAATGATATGGCAATTGCCTTCTTAAAAGATACACGAGTTTGCCAACAACTACAGATACACGAGTTTTACAGTGACTACAGATAGATAACTGTACGGATGTTAATGTTATACGAGAAACCATTTAACATCTTATAAGCAATCATCATAACTACTCCCCCTCATAAACTGTTATCTTGATGGAAATGTCCACTTCAAGGATTTTTCCCCTTATTTGCTATTCATGCTAATCTTTCTACGTGGGTAGCCTTTTCTTATACTTACTGTTTGTGATTGTGTGGTCAAAATGTTTCCTTTTTTGATCACGACAATAAAATATTCGTCATATATAAGATGAATGATTTATCATGTCAACATTTCCACTATTCCTAGAAAATTAAGACTAAAGTCAGTCCTATACTTCAAATCCTTAGCAATTCTATGGTTCTTTTTTGTACGTTTGTAACCTAGATTTTGGTTGTTTTATAACAAACTGTCCATCTGAAAATAAAACGACTTTTTAATTATTTCACTCGTACTCGTCTAAGCACAAAAGGGACAAATAAAATCGTAAAGGTGATCAATTCGTTTCGTCAGCGTTTAATAATAGGAAAACTATTGTGGCTGATTTGTGCTATCCGTGTTTTCGCCCAACGACCCCGCCAAGCGAAAAGTCGAGAATAAACAAGTTAAAATGGCGGGGGCACGGTAATTAGCGGGGAGGGACGCGGCAAAGTTTTATTTCTTAAATTTCACTCCGCGCCCCCGCTGGGCGAAGTTTCATTTATTCACGTTGTGTTTACGCTGGCGATGAATGGCCTTTTTGCAATTTGCAGCACAATATAATAATTTATTATAGTACGGTGTCATTTGAGTGAATCAGAAAATAAACAAAATACTTCAAAGATATATACAAAGTAATCATTTGATTACTACAAATCTAAAAACTCACAAATTATCCGCAATGATCTACCCAGTATTGTAGCGTGACTATTCACGTTTTGGGTGACACAATGTTGAATCAGAGGTGGGTTCATTTTATTGGCTTCACTTGTACCTAACCCCACCCCTCTATCTACCTATCCACTCAACCCCTCTGAGGAAATGCATCATCCAGTAAAGAATCCTAGGCATTGTTATGTTATTGTTATGTTATCTTTTAAATTAAATTGAATAACATTCCCCTCAGTACTTTAAGTACTTTGATTTTGTTAAAAGTTTAGTCCAATTCAATCAGACGGGTTCCCTTGCAGTCATCAAATCCCTTGTCTGACTGTGTATTCGTCAAAGAGTCTGGCCTATATTCCTGTAATCAACGTTAATATTTCGTTTTGTTGTAACATTCTAAAAGCTGAATCTTCTGTGATCTTTTTTAGTGTTTGAAATTTTTTGTCCAGTAGAATTGCAGTATTTCAAATGAATCATAAACTTTAATAAATCGGCTAACTTTTAGTCTAGTAAATCGGTAGTTTTGTAAAAAAAAATTTACAATCAATCAAACATTAAGCTAGTTGCGCCGTTCTAGACCAATTTAGTTTTGTAAATAACTAATTATTATTAAACACTTACCTATACTTAAATTTCTATTATATTGATAATATCCGTTAAATCCACTTAGAACATAATTTCGGCATTTCGTAACATCCCATGTATCTAAGTGATTTTATAAAACGTCACTAACAACAGTTACAGTTTTATATTTCAAAGATGAACTTGGACATGATTGAAACGTGTACTTACATATAATTGAAAAAAAATGTGCTTGGACATGTATTTAGACATGATACTATTATAACTTTTTCAATTGGGAAACATATGGAGTTATGCTGATCCTAATTTTTGCAAGTGTTTTGTTAGATCCAGGTTGTCGTCTATTTCAATAAATTTGTTGTTAACTAATAACGTACTTAAATAGTTGGGTGCTTTTTAAAAGTAGCCTTTTTCTGATTCTTTACAAGAGAACTTATTTGATTCAAATGATTGATACATTTTCACAGATAATTATGATGTGTCATTTTGAAAACCGAAAATTGTCCTAATTGATTATTGAAGTAAACATTTTTTTCTATAGAATGGAATTATATTTTTTCTTTTATATATGATTCTTATACTTACAGTAAAAGTTAAAAGATGAATGATATGAGTTAATAAATAAATAAATAAATGAATAAATTAATTAATTAATAAATAAATTAATAAATTAATAAATAAATAAACAAATACATGAAAATAAATAAATAAGAATACAATTTTAATCAAATAGCTTGAAAATCTTGTAAATTTATTTTTAACATCAATTTTACTTGACAATTGAACTAAGTCTTCATAAAACATTGCTGTATATATAATTTTTATCAAATTAACCACGGCGCAGGAAACCGGTAAAGCGGTCTTACTAAAGGCATGTCAATGAAAAATGACTCTTTTTTATTAACCATTTTGGATAATATGAGATAAATAGAATAAAAAGTTCGTGTAGATTCAATACTGAGATTATTGAAAATAATATACTCGCTACAGGCCCGCATAGTATAATATCACAAAACTCTTTTTTAAACATATTCTCTATACGTGGCTCGTTGCTATGACAGGAAATAGTGTTTTTTATCGTGGGGCAAAACGTGTATCGCTCTTCATAGAAATGTAGTAGAAATTAATAGACAATAGCTTTTAACAAAACACAAAAGATGCCGTTATAATAATAGTTCTGCGGCTAAGATTGCCAATAAAAAGTATAGAAAAGATGATTTGTTTAAGAATTCTCCCTTACGATCACGGGCCTGACACTGAGATAATTGCTATAAAAGGTGGAAATATATCTATTAACAAAAGAAGGTTAACTTAATCTTTGTTGAAATAGTTCATATAGAAAAAAAAGACATTATATAACATATGAAATCGAGGTTATTCTATTTCAACATAAAACTTCAATGATTTTGTGGACATTTACAATCCTTATAAAACAATATTTTTACAGATTTTTTCCTGTATCAACTGGACAAATACGACCTACTGTATAATCAGATATTATTGCGTGGTAAACATTTCGCGAAATGAACATCGAATACATAATGTCAATGTTATATATTGGCGGATTACTCATTTCAATTAATTTAAATTTATATAATTCTTGAATACCTTCCAAACATATTTTTCGCAAAAAACAAAATCAATTCTCGAAATTTAGTCCTTGAGAAAAAAAATGACTTTTCAAAATATTTCATTCTTTACCATGATATCATTTATTAGGTCGTGTAGACGGGTCTTCGATTATTAAGTGTGAAACATCGGGTTTAGGGCGTCTTCGATATGGAGATAAATGCCAATATGAATGTCATTGTGTAAACCGGTCTGAGCAGTGTGACATCATAACAGGTGCCTGCAGCAGTGGATGCGACTTTAACTGGGTAGGACCCGGATGTCAATTTAGTAAGTCTGACGTCAAATCAAGAGAGTAGCAATATTATTATATTTGTAAGTTTGGGAGTTATCAAGCAGCTCCTACCAAGTCTTAGAATAGCCACAAAGAAGTAATATATGACCATAAAGACCTTCCAATTTGTTTTGGGCTTTTTGTTTGTTTTTGCTATTTTTTTTTTTGTAGGGAAGGGGGTATATATATGGCACCGTTAGGGCGTGTACATAATCTATTTATCTAATATAAGGACCAAGTGTACTAGTCGGTATAGTAAACACAGGGTATAAATATCCTTACCCTCTCATATTTTACCTGTATATTGATAATATACGGAATTCCGAAGCCATTGTATGTAAATTCATACGTTTTCCAAAGACTAATTCCTTTCATAGCTATTTCCCCTTTCTTCACTTTTTCTTTTCGTGGTGCATTCCCATAAATAACAAGGAAATGAATTGTAATATTTCTGGTACTGACAAATGTAATTTAGATTCGGCTTAAGAATACTTATATTTCACTAATACAAAGAGGTGAATGAAAGGTATGAATCACTTTAAATAGCAAGAGCGCTAGTTTATATATTTTTTTAGATCATATCCATAATCAACAACAAATATAGAACCTCTTCTTGAATACGTTGTTGTGTATTTTCACCAAAGAAAACTCATTTTTGGTGAGAAGTATTTTTTCTCCACTAATTCGTTCCACATTTTTGATAATTCATTCGAAGCATTCGTCAATTTCCGTTTGAAACAAATCACTGATAATGGCAATGCATGACAAAAAAGTTGTATTTTTCACTTCAGAAAACATTGCTTTCCGACAAAATACGCGACACTTAAGTAATATTAAACCTGCGTTGTATTCTGAATTGGCTAATGATGACTCCCTATCAACATGTAGCCGTACGTCTGACAAAAACTCAGTGGCACCTTGGTGGAACATATGGATACCAGAGTATGCAGCTGTTAGGAAAATTGAGTTCCTCACAACAGCTAACATTACAAGTAAGTTTCTTTATTATTATGCTATATCTCATGGACTATGACGTAAGGATGTCATATTTGAGTTTTCATTTTACTTGACTGAGAGAACCTGTCCACATCAAAAAGTAAAAAGATGTTACTTTTCTGAAGATTTCGAACTAATTTTCACATTGTAACATATCGTATTTTTTCGTGATAACAAATCAACTGAATTATATGCATGGACCCGATAATTAAAAAAAATCTAGAAACACTGTGCTATCTGTAATTTATCAAACTGACCATATTGAATCAAACAGCCATATATCGTAGATGAACCTAGAACCAATGTACCGAGTCCCGTTAAATTGTAGCTTTACGAGGTATGATAAAAAAGTTCTAGTTCCGATATACTTCTAGCTACTACACTGACATTTACACACGAAACGGCGATACCGATATCTTATTGAAGATAACTGATCGAGTTACACGCGGTTAAAAGTAACAAAAATAACATACTTGAAACACACTTTGATCTGTATAAGGGTGTGTCATTTAGACAAAATGGAGTAAGTTGAAATCAGAGCGGTCATTAAGTACCTCTGTAAGAAAGGATATCCTCCAAGAAAATCCATGAAGACTTCATGGATATACTTTGGAGGTAGCCCCCTACCTATGGCACTGTGAAAAATGGGCTGTTGAATTTAAGGGACAGGGAGAGCATTGAAGATGATGAGCGGCCTGGGCCGCTAAAAGAGGTCACTAACGATGAAACTGCCGAAGCTGTAAACGATTTGGTCATGTGCGACAGAAGACGAAACCTGCGAAGCATTGCTTAGGAAGTGAGTATAAGCTTTGGTTCAGTATATACAATTCTGACTGATGTCTATGGCATGTCAACAGTTCCGCAATATGAGTTCCCAGAAAGTTAACCAAAACGGACCAAGATTGACATTTCAAGATATTTTTTGTCTCTCTACGACGATTAACCTGATTTTATCTACAGAGTCGTAACTCGGGATAAAACATTGGTCCATCACTTTTTGGCATAGTCAGGCGATAATCATGATTGACTATCTTGAACAAGGTCGTACCATAAACTGTGCGAACTATGCAAACGTATTGAGACGTCAAGAAATCGGGCTTAAAAGGAGGGGTAAACTGACTCAAAGCGTTCTGCTCCTGCACGACAATGCTCCAGCTGACACATCCAAAGTTAAGATGGCTGCTGCAACTGATTGCGACTTTGAATTTTCCCCATCCCCCATATTCTCCGGATTTGGCCTCCTCTGACTTCAACTTGTTTCCGAACGGTAAAACAATTTAAACTAGAACTGCCACTGTCATGGCGTGAATACCCCGCATACCACTGTGTCAGAATCAACAGTGAGCATCATTGAGAGCTCAAAGACAACCTCCCTTCAAAATCTGAGGTTACTAACCCAGTGCATTGCTAAGTTATATATTCAACATGCTTCAAATGTGAAAATGTGAAAATCAATACACTGCAGACAGGCATTCCTAAGCATTTGAGCAGACAAGCTTATTATAGTTAAATACATGTGACCTTGACCTTTGACACAGTCACCTAATAATCAATAGGGATCATCTACTAGTAATAAACCACCTCAATACCAAATATAAAGACTGTTGACCAAATCCTTCTTAAGCAATTGAGCGGACAAGCTTTTTTCAGTCAAGGCCCCTGTGACCTTTACCTTTGACCCAGTGACTTAAAAATCAATCATGATAAACCTCCATGCCAAATATGAAGGCTGTTGGTCAAAGAATTCTTAAGTTATTGGGGGGACAAGCTTTTTGAAGTCAAGGCCCCTGTGACCTTGATCTTTGACCTGGTGACCTCAAAATAAATAGGAATCATCTACGAATCATGACTAACCTCGATTCCAAATATGAAGACTGTGGGTCATAGGTTTCTTAAGTTATTGGGCGGACAAGCTTTTTGAAGTCAAGGCCGCTATGACTTTGACCTGGTGACCTCAAAATCAATAGTGGTCATTTACTAATCGTGACTAACCTCCATGCCAAATGTGAAGTATGTGAGTCAAATATTTCTTTACTTATTGGGCGGACAAGCTTTTTGAAGTCAAGGCCTCTGTGACCTTGACATTTGACCTGGTAATCTTAAAATCAATAGGGGTCATCTATTAATCATGATTAACCTCCACGCCAAATATAAAGACTGTGGGTCAATGGATTCGTAAGTTATTGGGCGGTCAAGAAAACAACCGACTGACGCCCGACGGCTGGACAGCCGGACGGACGGACGTTCCAACATTTTGGCTTTAGGGGCTTTTTTCTTTGTCATTTTCTTTGTTTTCTTAAGGGCTACTAGCCCCTAAACCCTTTGATCACGGAATGAACCTATTGTTCTCTTTTGTTCCCTTTACTGTTATATAGCCCCTAAACCCAAAATGTTTGCTCGGACAGCCGGACGGCCGGACAAATTTGTTGTGCGGGGTTATAACTATGTAAAATAGGCCAAATATCGGAGATGTTTCTGTGGTTCCCATAGGAATATCCGTGCTGAGGGGTCCATCAATTCTGTGGTAACAACGCTTTCCGATTCTAATCTAAGCATATGAAATTTTAATCCGCTACGCGGAATGGCCTCCATCTGTAAGTCTTCCCGTCTGTCCTTCTGTCCGACCGTCGGTAACACTTTTGTGTCCGCCCCATAACTTTAAACCGCTGAAAAGTTTGTTTTTTAAATAACTTGGCACGAGTGATCACCATTATGAGACTATGTGCGGAGCGCAATAATTGAATTGCTACACCCAAGGTCAAGTTCACACTTACAGGACAAATGTTAGAAAGTCTACATTTCGTGTCTGTCCATAACAATTAAACTGCTTCAATGTTTTTAAGATAACTTGGCAGAAACGGTCAACATTATGACACCATTGGCAGAGCACAATAATCAAGTCACAACCCTAAAGGTCAGGGTCACACTCAAATGTCCAATCTAAAAAACATCTATTTTTCATGTCTGCTCTATAACGTCTTGAAAATTCAAAGGTTTTAAAATTACTTGGCACAAATGATCACCACCATGACACAATCTGCAGAGTTCAACATCCAGGTTGCTACCCCCAAGGTCAAGGTTATATGTTCTCCATAACTTTTTTTAGTTGATGAAAGATTTTAAATAACTTGGCACAAATTATCATCATCATAAGACTATTCACTTATGAAGTGCATGGAATAACATGAAAGTCGTGGCTGGTAAAAGGTCAATAAGTACTGCCTTGTTATTAATTATGACCTAGATGTTTGTTTGTTTGTATTTATTTTCAGAAGATTTCTCGTACTTTGAAGTAATAGTGTTCAATACAACAAATGAAAGTTTTAGAAAAAAAGAAAATCTGACAGGAGGGGTAGTTTGTTATAAACACAATCACTCTATACCAAAAGAGAAACACATACTAATAACATGCAATGGATATCCGGTCGGTAATTTAGTACAATTGCAACTTGCGACTTCAAATGTTCAACTCGTACTCTGCGACGTCAGAATATACGAAGGTAAAATATAATAAAAAAAATCCTAAAACATCTTATTATTTTGTTTAACTTTTCATATGATTATTTTGTAATTATAGATAGACAGATAGTTATTTAGGTTAAACGCACATATACATTATACTAACACTTATGTATTTTTATATAAAAGTTATAACACAATTGCGATTAAAACATTTCGGAAGTTTGTTTTTTACTAGATATCAATTTACCAATTAATGATAATGTAACGACGCAAGTGTAAGCACGAATACGTGTACAATAACCTCGCATTGCCCATGAAAGACCGAGGGCTTATTTTCAATGGGGTCTTTAGATGTTTACGTACTAGAATATAAAAACAAAACCATTGAAAAAAAACTTTGGAAAATGGAAGATGTCAAATAGGTTAAATATTAAACTGTAATATTTTCTTTAACTTATTTACAGGAAAATAATAAAATGGAGATCAATATCCAGTCATACTAGTAAATTTAATTATGATTTCCTTACTGTTCTAATAAATGGGCCTTCACTGAGGTTTTGTTATATCTTATCGTATTATTTAATCAATGTAGGCAAGGAATTCCAATAATGAATTGCGTTTTGAAAAAAAATACGTTATCTTTCCCATAACTTCTTGGGATCTTAAAATTGCACTGATTCGCCCGAGTGCTAGGGGGCGTGGACGGTAACTTGCACTTTCCAGTACCGTCCATGAACAGGCTCAATCAAACCGAGCCTGCAACATTTTCAATTTTGCCGTGTTGGGCTTTCTTTAGGGATTCTGTATTTATCTATTGAATAAGAATGAATGTCTCTTACAAGTACAAAATTATTTTCATATATGAAGGGCACTGGTTATAAACTATTTTAAAAACATGGTTAAGATGTTATTGCTTATTTCTGTTTTCTACATGTAATAAAGACATATTGTCACGGTCTAGGCCGTGAGGTTAAACCTTTGGTAGTGTTCTCTCAGTAGAGGTTTATTAATGTAGTCTGTAAAGGGAGTTGGTTGGTTCCACACAGTTTACTTTTATAGTCACTAGTGATTACTATTTTATATCTACTTTGCTCACCTATAATTTTAACGGAACACTAGCTCTACATAGATGAATAAATTCTCTATAACATTTAAACACTGTTTATTCCAGTAGTATTTTGTTTATAACAAAGTTGCAATAACAAAATAATAAATTGTCAACAAATGAGCACAATTGTATTTTTATCATTCAGCAACAGATTCTATACGATAATGTATTAATAAGTAAAAGTTTGTAGTAGAAATCATCAGAGTTTCAAATCCTATGTATGTTAAAACCGTTTTCTAAATTATATCTCCCTTAATTTAATGTATCTTAATGTCTAACGCGTGTACCTTCTTTAATAGTCAACACGGAAAAATAGCGTACCAGTGAACCGTGACCAAAGTTAACAAGCAGTTAAATAATCTATTTCAAACAGTAAAGTGTTAATAAAAAACGTGTAATAAAGATTAAATATCTAGAAAATAGCTCAGAACTGTTAAATCTGAATAAATAAATAGTTATTTATCAAGAATAGTTTAATTACTTTAGTACGTAAAATTGCAGACGGCACTTATAAATTTTTCCGCTCTTATTTGTATCTCAGCAAAACGGGGTTTTGCCTCTGAAGTTCTGATCCAGACTGAGCTGTTCAACCAAAAATTCGGGCCCTTTTATACCCAGACAAATCCCAACCAAAATAAATTGGTTGAAGTGGTTGGTTTACAAAAGTGGTTGTGGTTGGAGCCAAAAATTGGTTGGTCCGACCAAGAAATATTGGTAGATTTACCAAAACGGTTAGAAATTTAAACATAGACTCTTAGACCTATGAAATAATAAAAAATGGACATAGAACATTTTGTTTACACATACTATGGCATTTTCTTACACAAGTTACACCTTTTCAATGAAGACAATACACAAAAATCCGATCGCAGAATTTCGTCAATAAATTAGCTGTAGCCGGTCGTCCTTAGTAACGTACCGGAAACAGTTCAAAATGGCATCATGAAACGAAAGTGGGAGCACGTTTTTCTAAGAAAACGGATCATAACTACAAAAATACATGGAATTAAACATTGTTACTTGGCAAAACAGTGACTTAAATAATTTACAAACAATAACAATAGGATTTATAATCACAGGTAACGAGTGAAAGTGACAATTCCCCTCAGAAGTTAGATTGAGCTGCACATCGTGAAAATGGAGGATAAACAAGGAAAACATGTTGGATAAAAAGGATAGATAAAATCTGGCTCATAACCCGTATACATGGGTTGGTGTTTTGATTTCTAGTAAAACACAGCTCATTATAAGTTTTATGGCTAGAAAATGTCAACATATCCTCACTATTAAAGATTAGAAGAAAAGTAATTTCTCAAGTTCAAGTCAATTAAGGTAAGGAGTTGAGTTCATGTAGTTCAGTTATGTTACAGTTATAGTTGAAAATTTCAGATCACTACATTACCCCCTTGTTTCTATGGCTAAACTCCTGTTGCCATCAATCAAAATTAATAATTTTTAAAAGTAAAATCTTTAAATATTTAACAAATTAAATAATTCCAACTATTAAACACACATATTATATAAATAATGAAATCAATTACTAAGCACATAACACTGTCAATTGATAAACAATTGTCTTTTGAGATCATTTTCTCATCAAGTTCTATTTAATAATTTATAGATTTCTTTATCATTTTAAGAAAACTATATAAAATATGTAGCATGACTACATAACAAATTTCAATAAATGTCTTCAAGGTCACTAAAACATGTTAAACCATGTTATCACATATATGACGTTTAGTGTCGCAAGTAAATTTCACAGAATTTAGTTTAAAGTTCCTGTTTGCTAGTTCCTGTTACATCTTCTTCATATTAAAGTTGTGTTGTTATATGATTTTGTTTAACAACACGGTATATCATATTCATCCAGTTCAAATGTTTTTTTTCTTTCATTTCACAAGTCTACAATTTAATTTCTGTTTATTATGTTACAATACTCATCCAGTCAATGCAATGTTTTTATATTTCACAAGTCACTTCTTATTTAATTAATTAATACTCTTTCACAATTTTACTCAAATGTCCATTGATTTAGCACTTCAATTTATATTTCACTGTACTATTATATACTATTTATATTCTTCACATAAGTTGTAAATTCAACAGTCAATTTAATATTTCACTTTCAGTATTATGTCAATAATTTTCATAATTCAATTCTTTGAAACACTTCTTTAAGATTAAATGATTAATTTTATTTCACTTCATGGCTTTTCAGTGTCCACAGTTTATAAATGTTAACTATTGTTATATATTATGCTTTTTTAACGACACTTTTCAGGGTTGACTTCTTGTTTTGTGTATAATTCTCCTTATTTTCTTCGAATTCGTTTGGTTTTTGGGTGACAATTCTTTTGATGCAATTCACATTTCTTTCTATCCTTGCAAGTTCTTCGCTGACCTTATTTATGGCCTTTTCACTTTGACGTACAGCCCTGGTGTTTTGAGTCAATAGCATTTAATTTTTGGCTGTTTCATTTGGGTTGCACATGTTGCGTTACTGGTTGGTTTATCTTTTGTTTTCTCTTCAGTTTTTGTTTCTTTCTTTTGGGGTTCGTTTTATCTGCCATTGTTCCCTTTTAAGTGGATTTAGGGCAGGTTTTTATGAAATTGTGGGGAATAACTGAGAGCGGGGGTTCTCAAGTAAGGGGTTTAGATGGGTTTTCCTGTTTAGTTTGTGAGTTTTAATGGTTCATTAAAGGATTCAGATGTTCTTTTTAAATTTTTGGATTAATTTTTTCTAGCCCTACCCAATTTAGCTGGAGTGGGTATGTCATTCAACGTTGGCAGGAAAAGCTTGTTGTTGTTGTTGGTATTCAAGTTCAATTTTGAATATGGTAGATAGGTGGTGTGATTTTTGGGTACATTGTAGTTATTGGCGTGACTAGCAATGTTCAGTTGTTGTTGTTGTAGTTGCTGTTGTTGAAGTTGTTGTTGAACGGCAAGTTGAGTTGCATACGGTGCTTTGTTTGCGAAAAACAACTGTGGCGTAGCATGTTGTGATGTTCGATTCCCAGCATCATAACTAGATGTTTCTGTTGCTGAAGCCTTGGAAGGAGTACTAGCAACTAGCCACTTTGGCAAAGGTAAACCACCTGACATGATAACGTCATCTTCTTCTTCCTCGAATAAACCTTCTGAATCATCAAACGGGTTCTCAGATTGTGTTAAGTGCCTGCCATGCCACTGCACTGAAAGTTCTTTGCTTAGCTGTACCATGTCGTCCACCCCTATAACGTAAGGATTTTCAGCCATCTTTAATATCTTCGAATAATCTGGTTGACCAAACCTGGTTTCCTCATCACGATGCCTGGAGTATTTCTTAATATGGTCTAATAGGGACTTCTTGTCTGTACATCTGAAGGAACAAAACGAGCACGAATAAGGTACTCGATCAAATGGCACATGGTGTTTCAGAACGTGTGACACCATTCTTCCCTTTCTATCCACCTTGCCGCATCTCACGCACTTGTAGGCTCTCCCTCTACCTTTGAACTGTGTTAACGACATCTTAACTGAAAATACACAGACCAGGAAACACTCATAAAAATTTTGAAAATATGATTTGACATCTACACGGTCACTGGTACATGTGGGGATCGGATACGTTACCGCCATGAAAATAAACTGGAAGGTACTTCTGTTCTCTACGCACGATATGTTTTATACGAATGACACGTCTGGTGATACAATACATGGTTATCCGAATTTTTGGACAGTAACCATCATTTTGAATATGTCTTTCAAAAATATTTAATTATTTATCGACTTTATATGTTTACAACTCTGCAGAGCAGTTTTGACTGTTAGTTTACTCACTATTATAGTATACAATAAATATTCGACGCAGGAAGTCACTAATGTTAATTGTTTAACTGTTTACAATGTATCTGGAATACTGTTTTACATAAAGAAGTGTTAATTACACTTCAGTTCTCTGTGTACGGATCACACATTAATATGAGTATTAAATTAAAACTCATTTGCTATATAAGCATATGTCTATCATAAACAATAATATTTAACAGTTTTACATATTTCAAATATTTAAAAAAATGAGAACACTTTTTTTATCATCTAACACATAAAATTAATTTTGCTTTGAAATGTACTACAAAGTCAGTTTAACATATTTATATGTCATTTAGTTAATTCTTTTGTACATTGCTGGTCGTTTTACAACTTTTCTTTAAAGCATCTGAAAGTCGTATAGCCCATTTTGGAGAATTGTTTCCCTGGTACTTCTTGAGTTTATTATGATGAACCATCTTTTCTGTTCCAAACTCATCTATCTGAATGATAAAGTTGATTTTTGACATTTTCACCTTAATAACATAAGGACCATTATAAGCTTTTTCAAGCTTTGGTGAAACACCGACTTTCCTTACTTCATGTAGACACCATACTAGATCGCCTTCTTCATATTCAGTGAATGACATCTTGGCATCATAAATTTCTTTGTTTCTTTTGGCATTTGTTCCAAGATATTTTCTGGCTACTTCGTGTGCTTGAAGCATCTTGTTCTTAATATTTAATACATAATCCCCAAGATTATGCACTTCGCTTTCAGTCTCGTTTACATGACCAAAAACTAAGTCTGCTGGTAACCTGATTTCTCTACCAATCGTCAAAAGATTTGGAGACATTCTAGTAGACTCATGTGGAGTTGACCGATAAGCACCTGCCAAGCATCCTAGATAAAGGTCCCATTGGTCCTGTTCTCCAACTAGGTAAGCCTTCACCATCTTGACTAGGGTTTTCATGAATCGCTCAACTTGGCCATTTCCTCTTGGGTTTCTGGCACTACACCGAGTTTTCTTTATCTGCAGCATGGCACAAAGAGATTTGAACACGGAACTTTCAAACGCAGGACCTTGGTCGCTGTGAATTGCTAAGGGCGTACCCCACCTAGCAATGATATCATTCAATATTCTTAATGCACATTCTTCTGCTGACTGGTTTGGGACTGCGATCACTTCTACGTACTTGGAAAAATGATCAGTTAACACTAGTACATATCTATTACTTCTAGGTGTAATTGGAAATGGACCTATGTAATCTACAGCTAACAAATCCCAAGGCGCTCCAGCTTTAAGTCTTCCTAATGGTGCTCTTGGAGGTTTTTGTGGCTTAAAATCAGCTGCACAGATGTCGCAACGTTGGATGTGTAGTCGAATGTCCTCTCTCATATTAAACCAGTAATAATGCATTTGAATTTTAGCCTTCGTCTTGCGATTTCCAAGGTGACCACCGACTGGCGAGTCATGTTCTAGCTTTATAACTGTCTCTTTGTATGCTTGCGGGATAATCATCTGCGTATATTCATCAGTACCATCTTTTTTACAGAAAGTTTTGTATAGTACGTTATCTATCAAAGTAAGTGAATCCCATAAAATCCAATAATGGCGTGTTGTGGGACTCTTGTCAACCATATCTTCACTCTTTGGTTTCTGACCTTCTTGGAGGGCTTTCACAATAAGTAAAATATCTGGGTCACTTCTCTGGGCTGTTTGCATGGTTTCAGGTAAACAAAAACCAAACAAATTATTTCCCCTCTTAACACTGCTTTGTAACCCACTGGTTCCAGGCTCAACTGTCCTAATGGCTTGTACTTCATCTGCAACATGATTACTTGGCTCTTGTTTACTTGTGTCGTCTTCATGATCAGAGACGTTAGGATTAGGCTTAAGCGACATGATCTCAGCTCTTCTTCTGCATTTTTGACAAGGGCCACATTTAAAGGGTTCACTCATGTCAACTTCACTGCAGGAACAGTCTCTAGGATTTTTGCATCTTGATAAAGCATCGCAATGTTCCCGTTGCTTTCCTGGCACTTCAATATCCTGTGCTACTGACACCTGTTTTATTTTACTGCCTTTGCTGATTTGGAAACAAGGAATTTCAACATCATTAAGAGAAATTACATTTTTACTCAAAAGAAGATCTGCTGACCTGCCACCTTGACCACTCAATATATCGTACCCTAGCAGGACATCATCTTCGATGTTGGCCACTATAGCTTCTGCCTTTGTTTCATATGATTCCAGCTTAATATTGAACAAAGCCTTTCCATACTCTTGGATAGGTGTTCCACCTGCACCTGTTAAGTAAGTTGAGTCCTTCAACTCAGGTTTTCCTTCTTTTTGTATCTTATCATAGACCCTTGTAGATATAACTGTTCTAGATGCCCCTGTATCTGCTGTAAAGATAACCTTGACATCTTCAATTGAACCTCTGATGTAAATACCATCACTCATACCTCGACATTTCTTAATATGACTCTTTTCCTCTGTCGCCTCGTTATTACTTATATGTGCTTTTGCCCTATCTGAACCTTCATCATGAGTACCTTGATTCCCCGGGAATCTATCCACATGACCTTGATTCAATACAGGCCTCTCAGCACCTTCGGCAAAATGTAAGGAACTATCTTCTGCTTTACTTTGACCCCATTCATGTGTATCTTGATTCCCCGGGAATCTCAACCCATGACTCTGGTCCGTAACTGGCCTCATACCAGTCTCAGCAGACTCTTTTCCTTCATTTTCCTCTAAGGCTTCTTCTTGCACTTCTTCGGTATCTACATCAATTTCGTTCCGGCCTACCAGTTTTACAAGGACCTCTCTCTGGCCGCAAGAGCTGGTCCTTTCTCGTTTAAAGGATCTTTCATTTTTCTCTCTTCGCGACTCATATGCTTCTGTTCAGCTGTTTTCTCCGGACAATCTCGTGCAAAATGCCCTATACGATGACAATTATAACATTCTAGGCTACGCTTCGGATTACTCTTTGCAGGATTATCATTGTACCTACTTTCTATCCTATCCATTCTTTCTATGAGTTTTTTCAACAGTTGTTGCTGTGTGTGTTGATCATCTTGATCTTTGTGATTTCTGTATGTTGGATGGTTTTGTTTCATATTACCAACTTGCTTCTTATCATGTTTATCATTGTAGAATTTTTGCTTATGAAAGTAAGTTTTCTCTTCTATCTTGTTACTATCAGGCTCTTCTTTATGCCATCTTGCTTGTCTCAAGTTTTCTCTATTATTTACCGCTCTTATATTTCTTGTCTGAATAAAGTTCACCACGTGAAAAACTGCTTCATCAATGGTTTCAGGCTCTTTATTGTACTCGACTGAAAATCTTATTTCTTCATCACGGAGACCATCGAGAAAACGTCGCACAAGGTCTTCATCTCTAGTCCTCTTGTCTCTATAACCATGCGCTTTGTCGTAAAGGACTTTTAACTCAGCAGCAAACGCTTCCGCTGTCTCACCAACCTTTTGTGACCGCTGGCTAAAACGTGATGCATATAACCTTGCCGTCTCGATTTTCTTATAACGGTTGTTCAGTTCTGACTTAAGATTCTTATAGCTTTGTAATGTTGTTGGATGAAGTTGAGAAAAGACAAAACTAGCTGCCTGTCCTTCAATTCTTGGAAGTAATTGATCCAGCATATCATCTTCTGTCCATCTCTTTCTTTGAGCTATTGCCTCGAAACGCGCTACCCAGACTTGCCAATCTTCTGTACCTGTAAAAGGAGAGATTTTTACTGGAACGGCATCATTCGCAGCTCGATACCTTTGCATGTTACCTCTGTTGCATGCCGCAGGATACATGTTATCATAACTAGACTGGTTAACATCACCATTGTACTCATCATAATTAGGGTTACGATAGCTTAAATCATCAAATTGAGATTGAATTCTAGGATAAAATGACTGGTCTCTCTGTAAAGGTGGTCTCTGATAAGAGGTACCTTCCCAACGTCTTTGTTGTGCCTCTTGGTGTTCGGAATTATTCCTGAAATTGGTATTATTAGTATGCGGTATAAATTCTTGAGCGCAAGGATCATATCTATTAGTCGGATCATGGCAAAAGGGATTCGAACCTGGACCTGGGATGGGCCTGAGGTGTACAGATGACTGTTTCAAGTCTTTCAATTCATTGATAACACTCTTAAGAACTGAGGTTACTTCACTAAAAAATGCTGGTGCACAATCAGGTTCTCTCATACTAGGACTACATTCAGTTATTGAGGTTTCTGACTGCAAGTGGTTGCTTACCACAGGGGGTACATCATTGGATGAATCATTTCCAATATGATCATATGATTGGTCATTGTTACCATCACTTTGGACCTCTCTAAAGGTTATTACACCTTCGCTATCTACTGCTCTTGGTTCTGACATACTGGTATTATAATAATATCTTTTTTTTTATATCTGTCCGCTAAAGAAGGGTTTTTATGTTATCACACATAAAATAGTTGTCCGCTATGGAAGAGTAGATTCTATCACAGGATCTGACAGGATGTTAAATATCAGATCCCACCGCTGCCACCATTAAATGTCACGGTCTAGGCCGTGAGGTTAAACCTTTGGTAGTGTTCTCTCAGTAGAGGTTTATTTATGTAGTCTGTAAAGGGAGTTGATTGGTTCCACACAGTTAACTTCTATAGTGATTACTATTTTATATCTACTTTGCTCACCTATAATTTTAATGGATAACTAGCTCTACATAGATAAATAAATTCTCTATAACATTTAAACACTGTTTATTCCAGTAGTATATTGCAAAGTTTATTTTGTTTATAAAACAAAGTTACAATAACAAAATAATAAATTGTCAACAAATGAGCACAATTGTATTTTTATCATTCAGCAACAGATTCTATACGATAATGTAATAATAAGTAAAAGTTTGTAGTAGAAATCATCAGAGTTTCAAGTCCTATTAATGTTAAAACTGTTTTCTAAATTATATCTCCCTTAATTTAATGTATCTTAATGTCTAACGCGTGTACCTTCTTTAATAGTCAACACGGAAAAATCGCGTACCAGTGAACCGTGACCAAATTTAACAAGCAGTTAAATAATCTATTTCAAACAGTAAAGTGTTAATAAAAAACGTGTAATAAAGATTAAATATCTAGGAAATAGCTCAGAACTGTTAAATCTGAATAAATAAATCGTTATTTATCAAGAATAGTTTAATTACTTTAGTACGTAAAATTGCAGACGGCACTTATAAATTTTTCCGCTCAAATTTGTATCTCAACAAAACGGGGTTTTGCCTCTGAAGTTCTGGTCCAGACTGAGCTGTTCAACCAAAAATCCGGGCCCTTTTATACCCAGACAAATCCCAACCAAAATAAAGTGGTTGAAGTGGTTGGTTTACTAAAGTGGTTGTGGTTGGAACCAAAAAGTGGTTGGTCCGACCAAGAAATATTGGTTGATTTACCAAAACGGTTAGAAATTTAAACATAGACTCTTAGACCTATGAAATAATAAAAATGGACATAGAACATCTTGTTACAAATATTACGGCATTATCTTAAACAAGTTATACCTTTTCAATGAAGAAAATACACAAAAATCCGATCGCAGAATTTCGTCAATAAATTAGCTGTAGCCGGTCGTCCCTAGTAACGTACCGGAAACAGTTCAAAATGGCATCTTGAAACGAAAGTGGAAGCACGTTTTTCTAAGAAAACGGATCATAACTACAAAAATACATGGAATTAAACATTGTTACTTGGCAAAACAGTGACTTATATAATTATTAAACAATAACAATAGGATTTATAATCACAGGTAACGAGTGAAAGTGACAATTCCCCTCAGAAGTTAGATTGAGCTGCACATCGTGAAAATGGAGGATAAACAAGGAAAACATGTTGGATAAAATAGGATAGATTAAATCTGGCTCATAACCCGTATACATGGGTTGGTGTTTTGATTTCTAGTAAAACACAGCTCATTATAAGTTTTATGGCTAGAAAATGTCAACATATCCTCACTATTAAAGATTAGAAGAAAAGTAATTTCTCAAGTTCAAGTCAATTAAGGTAAGGAGTTAAGTTCATGCAGTTCAGTTACGTTACAGTTATAGTTGAAAATTTCAGGTCACTACAATATTTTGCTTTTAATTGACAGATCAATGTCCGATATATAAAAATGCTCTATTTTCAATTCGAACGCTTTGGTGACCCTCAGATAACCTTCTTAACTTTAAGATCCGCCAGTCATGACTCATCGTAAATAGTCTGATAACACTATAATAATCTAGAAACCATCCGTTAATTAACCCACCTGGTTTATATATACAGGTCAGTTTTCTGCTAATTATAACTCCATAAACTTCATTTCTGATAATAGATCTTTGCATTGCAGTCATTAAGGTGAACATAAACATGTTGCTACTTTAAAGTACCAAATAAACAGCTTGTATATTTGCCCGGATCTTGAAGGTGAAATTGTAATGTTTGATATAAGAATGGACGTTGTCGGAAATAATATGTACAATAAAATACCGTCTTGCAATAAATCAAGGGTAAACGTGTAATATGTTTAAACAATCTCTTATAACGCATAATCTTATCATTGATACTTCTGTTCATTTAAAAATACTTAAAGTATGTTTCGTAATTTCAGAGCTACAATCTAGGAAATCTGTCAAGACTTGTTTCAAGAAAATTTGATAGCAAGTTCGTCATATACAAGCAACTGATATCACGTGTGAAAGGTATGATTTACAAAACAATTGGTTTCTTACTTATTTACATATAACAATCAATTGCACAAAGTTTATCAGTCTTTCTCCCGTTGATTTACGAACTCCATAACTGTTCAAGAATAGTAGTAAAACGGGTTCAAATGCCAGTAACGTTTTTAATGACAAACTTGAAATGAAATACAAAGTTGTCCAATACAATACAATGTTCACTACAATATTATTTTAGATAAACAAAGTAGCATATTTATTTTTACATCACACGATTGGCAAATAACATCAAAATATAACAGATGTGGGTGTATAAGAGGTAATTATAATACTAGAATAAACACGCAAAATTTCGTTTAATTCTATTGGTATGACGAAGACTTAATTTCATAAATAATTTCAACTATTCCACTATTTTTACAATTATAAGTTGAATTATTGGCTTTTTTATCTGTGTTTAATTGTTGGCTTTTTCTACCAGAGTAAAGTTGTTCAACACATTACCTTTCATGTTTGCGTTTGATTTAGAATGTCTAATTACTAGTAGATTTTGACATATATAAAGATGCGCTTTCTGAGGATCTTTTAAAATCTCTAATTGGCATTTTACAGGATGCATCAATAATCGTAAATGAAATCATTAAAGTTTTCATAGTTTACTGCTTTGCAACAACTTAATTATTGTGCAGGTAGATTTGTTTTCATTTATGATTAACACGTACTTTTTATCAAATTTCTAATTTTTTTATTATAACATGTATTTTTTTGCATCTGTTATTTCAAAGCGCTCAATTGGTTAATCTGTACAAACACCTAGATATTGCAGAAAATGAAAAAGATGTTACCACCCTTATTTTATTATGTTTTTTATTTGCTTTCCCAGTACCCTTAAACCATAATTATATAAATTTTACATACTTACACTGTATAATGCATACATGTACTTATAATCAGACAATATTTCATATTGATATTGCAAAGTTACCTTGGTCGTCACAAATTCTTGCTCTGTAACAATGTTAACCTTTATGTCTCATTTCACAAATCCAATCAAACAACACAGTCATATTTTCATATTAATCTCTGTTAGTTCATATGATGAAAGTTTTTTGTTGCACTATAGTGTTGAAACTAAATAATGGCAAAGTAAAATATCATGTCTAGTGAATAATTAAGAAAATGAAATCGATGACTTCAACGAAACATTAGGCGAACTCCTGTTGGAAGAAAAACGCGGATCATGACACTAGTTGAGTGAATATACAAAAAATAATTAATGTCTCTTTCCAAAAATCCAATTAACAACACACGTTAGTCTCCATAAGTTTCATATCATATAAGATTTGTGTTACACTTAGGAAATGACAACGTAAAATATGTTAAAACAATACAACAAGGAATTATATCTAGTGAAAGGCTCGAATGTTTACGAAATGAAATCCATAAACATCCGCAAAATTGAGCCCCTATTGATCAATGACGATTAGCATAAATGAATATGAAAAAAGAACGGTTGCACATTTTGCTAAATTAAACGTATATATTCATTTGAAGTCAGACCGTTTCAATCAAATATTTATCATAATGGCGCGAGTCCGTAAAATTAACATCTGACATGAGTGCTTTTAGTTATTATTCTTTTGAGAGGCAAGAAGGACAAAGGGTTTATAGATACATTTTTTGTTAAACTGGCAGTCTCATGGCAAACTGATTGTTTTGTCCTTATATTCAAACTGCAATGCAGTTATTATAAATCACAGCAGAAACAGTTGGGGAAATCTTCGCGGATGGTTATGTTTAAAACATTTTCCTTTTCTACTTCATATTTTTATTTCAAAGCTTTCAATAATACAGCATTATGTTGTTTTTTTTTCTTTCGTGAAACTGGTGAATTATGGCATTAAAATTGATCTAAAATTGTGGAATATGATGAATTTGATTTCATGCATATTTCGACATCAGTCGTACTTATTACCGATTTCTTTCCTTACGATATCTTGACACTTATGTAAATGACTATGTTCATAAATATGTGTAAACGAAACTCTATAAATTTCGGACAAAAGCATTTTCCCCTTGTTTGACTTGAAAAATACGGAACAAGTAAGCTGACGATAACGCATACTTTAGGGATCAGTCCAAACTACTTACTCAATTTCTTCATTACATGCTAATATATTTTTCATTTAGAATGTGAAATGTATTGAACAGTGTTTGGCAAGTGACATCACTAATCCAGAAATAATGTAAAGACAAACAGATATTGAAGATAATTGGTTTGAAAGCAACAAGATCCATTTTCATTAAACACGTATTTTCGGAAATCTTTATACTTTAGCTGTCATTCACTAGTCACTTCCGCCTACAATTTTGTCTCTCTTAAATGTTGCGTTTTGCAAGATCTTTTTTTCTTTTGAAGGGGCTGTCAACATTGTACCAAATTTTTTTAATAGAGTAATATTAAAAGACAGAGACTTGGATGAATTTTTGATTTTCCCAAATCATTACACATTTCTTGCATGCTTAATAAGATCAGAGTTATTATTTTATTAATCTTCTTAGCAGTGTTGAACGAACAGTGTAAAGAGCTTTGATACAATACTATCAAATTAGCCTACATCTCTAATTATGTTATGCTTTTCGATAATTAACTTAGTGGTGACTGGAACATATTAGTGTTATTTTAATAAAACTCATAAACACGCGATCATTGTAAGCATTGTTGACCTTTGGTTAACCTGTTCTGAAGTCAAAGGTTTTATATTATAATTAAAAATCTTGATTATAACTATAGACCAACCCCTCTACTAATTAGCAAGCCTGATATAAACTCGTATGAAGTTCATCGGAGCTAATTACCGATATGTCAATAATATTCATGAAAATATCAGAAATATTAACTAATTGAATAAGTATGAAATTATCCTAATACGATATAACAAAATATTTTAACACCTGTTCTTTGCTTATCTATGTGTGAGCTATTGTAGAGAATCTATCGATTCGCGTCTCTTCTGGTCTTTTATGGTCGTTGATACCAGTACTTGCAAACACAACTTAAACCGGTGTATCGGGGTGTGCCTTTTTATTTTGTCTTATTACAATCGAGTGACCTCCCCTTTACACAATTGCGTATGATATTATTTCTATACACATGTAAAACGGAGCACCGTCCTTCACATAAATTGTGTTTTCTTTTTGTCGGCATGATTGTAATTTAAGATATTGAAAAAACTTATAATAATAATGATATTAATAATAACTAGGATGTTATTATCATTCTTTACTTTGATCTTATCTATAATATTATTTTTATTATTTTATTCTCCATTATTTGTTGTTTTTTTAGTTGTTTTTTTCGAGAGACTTCATGCAGATATTCTAACAAAACATCATTATCTCAGTCTCATTTCTAGATATTGTCACGTAAGATTCAAAGACATGTAACAGGTCAGAATATATCAAACATAATCCAGACAAAGTCATAAGTTGATGGATGTTCAAGTTGACAAGGGCAGTCGTATAACATTATAAAAAAATCATTCCCCGGAACCTCAATATGCTGTCTGCACTTTTTCTACGTAATTTGTATGTAATTGTCACATTCCGTTGTTTGTATTTTATTACTTTTATATATACAATTATTTGATTACCATATATATGTGGCTGTCTGGCATAAACAGTTAACAATTTCTTGTCAGCTGGAAGTCTGGGCAAGATAATAAGGAATGTAAGACAAACAAACTTTTCAAAATGAATATATTTAACTCTAGTATACAATAAAACCCTTGCCAATCGACTCTAGGTCATATAAACAAATAACCGTTTAAACAGGGCCATAAAACATGTCGAACATTTTTATAACTAATTATATTAAAGCATGCCGCAGAAATAAAGAGACAAATGTTGAAACAGTTTTTTTCAATGAGAATTTGCAATGAAAAATCATATACTCATATGCTGATGCTGTCTTCTTAAAACATGCTCTTGCTTTGGTTTACAAATGATATTTTCTTAATATATGTTTATCTATTAGAAATGTGAAGTAATTGAAAACCTTTGTTTATACACCACTGCAATGATTGTCATGTAAACCATAAGTTGGCTTAAAGCAAGATTTTTGACATGCAAGACATAGAGTACAAACAACTTAGACGGTTATTCATTACCACTGAAAAAAAGGAAAATATATTTTACAGTCAACATCTCATGGGAATCTCTTTCGCACGCTATTTTCGAATTAAAACATACAATAAGATATATAAAAAAACTGGCTCATGACATTTCTGATATTTTTTTTTTGCATATATCCATAAGAGATTTGATTTCAAATTATTTGTACAATGTCCTATTTGAGACGAATTCCCAAGCGCCTCATTTTGTTCAGGAATCTTTTTACTGACGACCGAATCTCAATGGTTTATTGTGGAACTAAGCCCACAAATATCCATGATTTTCCCACAGAATAATACATGCTTAATGAGATCATTCAATAATGCTACTTTTAAATTTACGGTTCCGATTGACGCTACAAAGACTTATTGCAGAGAGAAGACAGACAACCGAAAGTGTGAAATAACCGTGTAAAATTTGATTGCCTTTAATCTTGAGTGGCTGGACTTATTTGGGGCTGCCTTAATGTCGCAGTCTCTTGTTGAGATTTTCCTTTATATTTTTGATCAATCAACAAAGAGATTTTAGATTTCAAAAACCCTAGTGTTTCCGTTCACATATCTGTCAATTTTGTAAATCAGAAATACCTATATACTACCTCTATCTTAATTGTTTAAAATCGCATTTTTTTCTTAAACAGCATTTACAAACAATCGAAAATCGACAAAAGGTCGAAAAAAATATCAAAGTATTTTAGTAACTTTAAAATATGTAAAAACTGATTTTGCAATTGATTTGGATATACGTCTCCGTTGGAGATAGTAAAAATCATCTTTTCCTAACGTAATCATTACCTTAATCGACAGATGCATTATTTTGTATGTATAAATTTGTTAAATGGCGTCCCATGAACAGGCTAAGAGCTACAAACAGTGTTAAAAACAAAATTGGTTATTCTCATTAAACAGACATAAAAGCAATTGCAAGGCAACGAAATAGCCGTATGGATATTGGAAATAATTAAATTTGGTGAGAGCCATAATGTATATTGAAAAAAGATATGTTTTTTCAGGGTGGTTTCAAAGACTTGTTTTAGATTTTATAATTATTTTTTACATCATACGTCAATATTCAAACGAGTCTATGTCTGTGTTTCATTGTTAAGCTTATTTAACTTTTTATTGCATTATTATCTTCGTAATGAACTTGTCTTTTTACAAATGAAGATTGAAATACTCATTTATAGATTCGGATTTTTAGAAATCAAGAGGAATTGACTGATGATATTGCTCGGAGAGATGATTAAAAATAACCTAATTGGAATATTTTCCTGTTTGCATATATCATATATTCATCATATAAACATTCGTTCTGATTCACTTAGAAGTACATGTATATCAACATTTTATTTTTTAACAATTTTTATAAGAATATCCAAATGGTACATTTTCATTGTTTTTATCCTTATTTAAAAACATTATGGAAGATGTGCCCATTTTAGACCTATCCACTTTAATTCAAAATAAAAATATATTTATGTTCTATTCTATCTTTATATATAGTTAGATATAGTTACGCATGCGCAAGAAAATGGTGGTTCAATTTTTTGAAAAGAAAGAAAAAAGGAAAAATATGGATTAATTAAGGATTATTTTGATTTATATGTGATAAAACAGTTGATAGTTGATACATATCTATACATTCATGCCAAAAAAAACGAAAAAAAAATCGAAGGAATCGCCAGAAAATAGCCAGAACATTTCAAAACGTTTGTCAACAATGGCACAAAATGGCGCGATTCTAGGTGCTCAAAGCCTTCAAAATGGATTAAAAAATGGATCAAGTGGACAAAATGAGGTAAATGCCCAATACCAATCAAGTGCAAACTACAATTCACAACCTATCTATTACTCAGATACGCAGTATATGGCAATGAACTCTGCCTCGCCTGTGTTCACAGGTAATACCCCACCCACACCGTGTACACCGGTAGTTCAAAATACAGGTCAAAATCAAGGGTATAATCATAATATCATTTCTATGTTGTTACAAAGGCTTGATTCAATGGACAAAAAGCTATCACAATTAGATAATATCCAAGCGGGAATGAACGTTTTAACGGTACGCATGGACACAATGGACCAAAAGATCAACTCCTTTGAGGTCAAATTGAGTGAAATAGAGCAGAGTCGTTCGTTTGATAGTGATATTCTTAAAATATAAACAAAAGGCAAACAGAATTAGACACGTTGTTAAAGTCGATGAAAAAGTCCGAAAAGGATTCACGGGAAAAGGAGTTAGAGTTACGGGACGAAATTACAGATATAAAATGTCGAAGCATGAGGGACAACTTGTTGTTTTTCAATTTGCCTGAAGAAAAAGATGAAAACTGCGAGCAGAAAGTTCTTAACTTTATTGAAAAGGAGATGAAAATATTGGCCGCAATAGAAAATATAAAACTGCATCGAGCTCATAGACTTGGCGTGTACAGAAGCACCAAAGTTCGCCCAATTGTTGCCAAATTTGCATATTTTCCGGACCGAGAAAGAGTTAGAGCTTCCGCAAAAACCTTATCAGGTACGCAATTTGGTGTCGCAGAGCAATTTCCTAGGGAGATTATGGAAACAAGGCGAAAACTGGTACCAATCATGAAAAAGGCCCGTGATGAAGGAAAAGAGGCGTATATTAAAGTAGATAAATTGTACATTAATAAGCAGCTATACCGTGGACATGATTAGGAGTCACGAGAGAGTGTCATCAAGTGTTTATCATGGAATGTTGAGGGACTTTCTAAAGTTAAGCGATCATCAAACGAATTTATTGGAATTATAAGTGAAAATGATGTCATATGTTTAAGTGAGTCTTGAACGAATAAAAGCTCAGTTATTGATCTTAATGGATATGACAAACCGATTCATTCTTATAGACGATTTCAGCATAGACGTGCTAAGCGCTCCAGCGGTGGACTTATCATATATATAAAAAATTCCATAAGAAAAGGTGTTAAAATGGTTAAAAATGACATTGATTGTCTGGTATGGTTGAAATTTGATAAATCGTTCTTTCACATAGAAAATGACATTTATTTAGCAGTTGTATACATTGCACCAGAACATTCCCCGATTCATGATAGGTACGATGAAGATATTTATAGGCACATTGAAAATGATATAAATATATTTAGCAATAAAGGAAAAATATTCATTACTGGAGACACTAATTCGCGCATTGGCCAGAAAAGTGATTATATAACATATGATAGACATATAGGACAAACAGATATTTATACGATTGACCCATATTTGCCACGGACTTCTTGTGATTTTGGTTCAAATCGCTTTGGCGATCGTTTACTTGACCTTTGTAAATCAACCAATTTTCGGGTAGTTAATGGTAGATTGTATAGAGATAAAGGTATAGGCAAATTTACCTGTATGACATATAACGGGGAAAGCGTGGTCGATTATCTGGTGACGTCACAGTTAAACTTTCAAGATTTAGCCGATTTTTATGTACATGATTTCAATGAATTTTCTAACCATGCCCCGATGTCATTTTCATTCAAAGTTAACTCGATTCCAAGTACAATAAAAAAGGAGCCAACTATTTCTTATAAATGGAAACCATCACAAAGGGATGCATTTATAAATGACGTATCACATGATATACAAAACATAGAAACTATTTTACAAGAGCAAATAAACAACGGAGATAGTACCGATACATTAACTAAGACTTTCACGGACTTTTTAAACGATAAAGGCAAACAGTACTTTGAAACTAAATCAGTTGCACGAAATAATTATTTTGTGCATAATGACTCAAATTTGAAGAAATGGTTTAGTGATGAATGTAAATTAAAGAGAGAAAGTTATTTACAGGCAATTTATGACTATAATTTAGAAAAAAACGAAAGCACTAGAAATATCCTGCATGAAAAGAAACGTGATTACAAAAACACTTGTAAAAAGCATAAAAGAAGCTTTAATAAAAATGTTGGTAAAAAAATGAATGATATGAGAAGAAAAAATCCACGAGAGTTTTGGAAAACATTTAAAAAGAAATCTTCAAATCCAAATGGTGAAAATATAACTGTTGAAGAATTTTATGATCATTTCAAAAACTTGTCTTCTAATACAATGCTTAGTGAAAATATGGAATGTAATGACTTTTTGTCGCAATTTGATACAGCCCCAGACTCCTATGGAAGTTCCTTCGATGAACTGGATCAACCAATCACAAAAGAGGAAATAATATCCGCCACCAAGAAACTCGGTTGTAATAAGGCGTGTTCATTAGACAATATCCTATATGAATATTTCAAAGAAAGTGTATTTGTAACGGCACGTTCAATTGAATTATTGTTTAACCACATATTAAATACAAAAGTGTTTCCTCGTAGCTGGTCAACAGGAGTAATAATACCAATATATAAAAAGGTGATTCGTCTGACCCGAATAATTATAGAGGAATAGAGGAATAACATTGATCAGCTGTTTTGCTAAATTGTTTACAGTTATCATAAATGAACGATTGAAACGTTGGGCTGAAAACACAGAAACTTTGACAGACGCACAATTTGGTTTTAAACCGAATTACGGTACTATTGATTCTATTTTTATATTAAATGCTTTAATAGAAAGACAATTTAGAACGAAAAATAAGCTCTTTTGTTGTTTTGTGGATTATAAAAAGGCGTATGACTTAATTGACAGAAATTACCTTTGGTATAAGCTCATAAAGACCGGGGTGGACGGAAAACTGTTCTCTATTATACGGTCAATGTACGAAGATGTTAAACTTTGTGTAAGACATTTAAATAGTTTGTCAGATTTTTTCAGCTGTGATGTAGGTCTCTTTCAAGGGGAGATCACCTCGCCGATCATGTTCTCTATATTTTTGAATGATATTGAAATGTTTTTACAAGAAGACCCAAATGCTTGCATTACACTAGACCAGATATCTATGTATTTGTTGTTGTTTGCGGATGATGCCGTTCTTTTTTCTGAATCCAAAGAAGGTCTACAAAACAATATAAATAATTTACAATTGTATTGCAAAAAATGGAATTTAACTGTAAATGTTGATAAAACTAAAATTGTTGTTTTTAGAAAAGGCGGTCAATTAAGTAGAGAGTTCAAATGGTCATATGACGGAATTGATATAGAAATTGTTCAAAACTTCAATTATTTAGGAATTGTATTTTCTAGTGGCGGTTCATTTGTACCAGCAACAAATACCCTTAGTGGAAAAGGCTTAAGGGCAATGAACTCTTTACTTAACATTACAAAAGAGTTAGATATATCTATAGAAATAATGTTCAATTTGTTCGATGCGTATGTTTTATCTATTTTGAATTATAATTGTGAAGTATGGGGCTTTAATAAAGCAGAAAATATTGAACGTGTGCAAAGAAAATTTTGTAAATGGTTATTAAATGTTAAAATGTCAACAAATACTCTATCATTGTATTCTGAACTAGGTAGATTTCCTCTGTATATTGAAAGATATGTTAGGATAGCAAAATATTGGTTAAAGTTGCACGGCGATAAGAGTCAAAACTGTATTTTAACAACTATTCTAAGTTCTCAAAGAAATGATATATCAAATAACTCAAATGTTGTCAACTGGTCATCAAAAGTTCGAGACATGTTACAAAACGCTGGATTTGCCGAAGTATGGTTATATCCAGAATCGGTTAATATTAAAATTTTTATACCAGTATTCAGATCACGTCTCAGGGATATATATGTAACCCAATGGCGAGCAGACATGGCGTTATGCTCTTCCTTGCAATTGTATTCAAATGTTAAAGTTAAATATGAAAGGTCTATTTATCTTAAATTATTAGAAAATACAAAATACAGATCAGTTCTTGCAAAAATTAGATTAAGTTCCCATAAACTACATATTGAATCTGGAAGACACAGGGGTATTGAAAGAAGTCAGAGAAAATGCACATTATGTACGTCCGGGGATATAGAGGATGAATTTCATTTTATATTAATATGTCCAATTTATAGTGATTTTAGAAGCATGTACATTTCAAGATACTTTACTGTTAATCCTAGTGTTTATAAATTCATACAATTGTTAAACGCAGATAGAAAATTGGTTATTAGAAAATTAGCATTATTTTGTATTAAAGCATTTGAAAGACGAGACAATTTGGTAGATTAGCATATCAATATGATATTATTAATGTAGAAATTTATTTTTGGCATTCTCAATCAATATGTTAGCTATGTCATAATATTTGAATATAACTGATTGAATTTGTTATGATATGATTCTTGACGCATGCATTGTAATAATTATACATGTATATGTATGTAATGATGATGGGTGTTGAGCCCAAGTCAGAAATAAAGTATATGTTCTGTTCTATAATGCACATGATCATATAAATACTCAGTTCTGGCACGCACTATCAGAGACCCCATTAAGATACATTTGTATATATCATTTCTAAATAGCAAGTGGAAAATTTATATCAATCTTTTTGGTCCATTCAAGGATATCATTATATTGAGTTCTTGTGATTATTGTAAGTTTCATGCAAGAATTATGGTTTAGGTTTTCCCAAATTACATATCCCATTTATAGAATTTCCAAAAACAGCAACTTGACAATATTACATGATTTGGCTTTAGCAGTTTGGAAAATAAGCGGTCATTTACCTCAGTTTTTCGGGTTGTTATAAAACCCGAAAATTTCAGTTTATTTTTTCTCTGTAAAAATATTTTTCCCGATGGATTTAGTATAAAAACATGTGAATAATAATTTTATATCATTGAATTTATCTTTTTCAAGATGCTTAAAAACAAGTCAACAGGCATGTAATATATGCATACGAAACCAAATTACTATAATTACAAAACACTATATTCTTAATGTATTCTTAATGTACTTTTTCAACATCTTCCTATTCAAGTCCTTAATACTGAATAAACACATGTACCAGATTTTAATGATCGAATATGTTGTTTGTAATGAGAGTTATGTCGGTCTTTAAAAATAGCCAACTTGAAGGTTTATATACAATATATGGGCGTTTTCGAAATGTCATGAAGATAATAACAAAACAAATTTCAAAATGGTCATTTCGTTACGAATATCGTTTGTTTTGTAGAATCAATTACGTAAATGTAAAAGCAGAAGTAAATGGGATTACTACTTGTAATTTAAACAGATATGTATAACTAACTTTCTTGTGATTTTATATGCAGCATAAGTAATATTTTATGAAAACCTTATGCACAAAGTTCTCAAAATTCTTAATTTTAAAGGTAATTGCAACATGATTGATTTATAATGTGTTTGTTAATATATTGAAAACTTCTGTAAACTCAGATGACCTTCCTTACAAAAATATGGAGATAACCATATTATGAATAACCAATGATAAAATAATCCAGGCGAAAGCTGTTGTGATATAGTCGTGTGACTACGTCAAGAGAATAAAGCATATATTGTCAATGAACTGTCAACTACCTTGTGGTGATATTTACATCATGACGTAATTGACGTTTCTGAATACCCATAATAAAATAGTTACTTGACCTTAGATAGGACAGGATCGAATTTACGGAAACATAAAACAAAAAAACCTAACGATAGGGAATTAAACAAACCATGATGATACTTAAATTTGTTCCGATTCAAATGAAATGCAATATTAATTATTTCGTAAATGGTTTGAATTGAGGCGTACTTAGATATTTTTCACTTCACATAG